AAGCAGTATATGATAGGGTATTATGGTTATCACAGGAATCCCAACTTTTTAAGGAAACAACTGCTTTACACAGTGGTTGTACTATTTTACAGTCCCACTAACAGTATAGGGAGTTCCTGTCTGTCCACGCCCTCCCCAGCATTTGTTTTCTGTCTTACTGAACTTTGCTTTTTTTAGCAGGAGTGAAATGGTATCTCTTTGTTATTTTTATTTATGTTTCTCCAATAGTTAATGTAGGAAGCAGGGTGTTATATTATGTCAGGTGTCAGTGGCATAACACATTATGTGTTAGACTGCCAAAAGGTTAATGGTTTGAATCCAAAGATGAGTAGTCTTCTCAGGTAAAGATTTCCAGCTTGGAAAACCCAATGTAGTATCCCTGTAAAGTGGAATCAACTTAATGATAGTGGGTTAATAGTTAATGATTGGATGTATTTCTCCACGTTTGTTGGCTATCTGAATGTCTTTATCAGTGAAGAGTCCTTTCCAATCCTTGGTCCATTTAAAAAAAAAAATTAGGCTGTTTTCTTTTTGTTATTGAAATTTTGGAACTTTTCATACATTTAGAGAAAAGTTCTATATTGGATGTATTATTGGCAAGTATTTTTTTTTCTCAATTTGAGGTTCTTTTACTCTTTTAGGTTAAGTCTTTTGCTGTACATAAGAATTAAATTTTTAAATTAAATTGATTTTAAATTTCAGTTGTTTGAAATTGATGTTGGAGAGTCTATTTATGCTATAGAATAAGATCGCTAATGTTGCCCTGTTTTTCCCTGTGGTGATCTTTATGATTTTCAGTTTTACATTTAGGTCTTTGATCCATTTTGAGTTAGTTTTTACTTATGTTGTGGAGTGTGAGTCTTGTTTAATTTTTCTACAAGGACTATCCAGTTTTGTTAGCACTGTCTTTTTAGAGACTGCCTTTGCTTCATTTTATGGGTTTCATCCACGTGTCCCTAAATGGATGTGTTTACTTCTGGGTTCTCCTTTCTGTCCAATTGTCTGTGACTGTCATTTTACCATAGCATTATGTCTTTACTACTGTGGCAGTCAGAAAGGGTGAGGCCTGCTATTTGGTTGGCCTTCAGTAGTGCCTTGCCTATTCAAAGTCCCTTTTCCTTTTCCAATAATGATTGTAATTTGTTCTTGCATTTCTTTATAGAATTATAATAGTGCCTGGATTGGGGTTACATTTTATCTAGATTTCTTTCTGTAATATTGATATTTTAATTTCACAAAGTGAAATTTCTTGTTCTATTTAAACAACTTTTTTTTGTTTTTTTAAATCCATGCAATTTTTGGTTCTTATGAACACGATAAAGTGTTCTAGAATTTCTGTTCTCAGTGTTTTCCTAATTCATTATGATATACACAGTCCAATACCTTTGCATTGTCAATAAAATGCAAATAAACATGCTGATATGCTGTGATGTCAGCCAAGATGCATCTGACCTCCGCACTTTTGCTCTACAAACTCTTCTGAATCAAGCTTAAATTTTTACAGTTACCTAACAATGTTTAAATAATCTTTAAGATTTTACTTGCATGTGATTGTAGCAATATTCTGGAATTCCCCCATTCTTTTGGATAATATTTTTATGGATTTATTTCTCAGTTGGTTGACCAAGTAGCTGTCTTCCAAAATTTCTGACATAGATGAGGGTCTGCATCTGTTTGCTGGAATACCTCAATTGATAGTCTCTCAATTTCTAGAGCCTTCACCCATCCCCATATCTTCAGTGCAGCTTTGACTTCTCCTTCATTATCATTAATGCTTGATCATATGCTGCTTCTTGAAGTGGTTCAGTGTCGACTAATTCTTGTTAGTGCAGTGACTCTGTCTTCCTCTCATCTTCTTTTGATGCTTCCTGCTTCATTGATGATTTGCCCTTCAATATTGCCACTTAGGGTTTGCATTTGTTCTTCAGTTCTTTCTGTTTGAAGCATGCCCAGCGTGTTCTTCTCTTTTGGAGTTCTAACTCCTGGTCTTTGTTATCATACCTTGTCTTTTCATGCTGTAGTTTGAAATCTTCAGTTCAGTGCCCTTCATCATCTTCCTTTTGTGCATAGGGTCACTATGAGTCACAAGTGACTCGATGGCACATAACAACAATAACAACGTTCAAAAGCACATTTGAGAATCTGTTCTGATATCCATTTTGTTTTTTCTGTCTTTCCTTCCAATGACTTTTTGCTTATTCTCGATTCCACAGCTTACCTCTTCTTGAGTTGTTAGTGTTCAGTGCATCAAACACTGAACATATTGAGGTAGTTTTTTAAAGTCAGGTAGAATACACTGCAGGCTGTGCTTTAAGCTCTCATGAACTTGTTTTAATTTTCTTCAGCTTTACCTTGAACTTGTATATGAGCAGTTGATGGTCTGTCTGTTCCATAGCTGGCCCCTTGGCCTCTTTCTGACTGCTGATATTGAACTTTCTCACCTTTCCACAGAGTAGCTTATTTAAGTCCTATACATCTCATCACATGAGCTCTATGTGTATAGTCACCTTTAATGTTTTTTTTTCAAAGGTATTTCAATAAATAGATTTCAACTGTGTAAAATCCCATCAAGCAGTCTTTGGCCTCATTTCTGTCACCAAGGTGTATTTTCCAACTACTGGTCTTACTTGTTTCCAACCTTTGCATTCTAGCCACCAGTTATTATTATTATTGCTCATCTTTCTCACGTCTAGTGGATTGGAACTGCTGATCTTTTGATTAATAGTCGGATACATCATACACTATGCCCTCAGGGCTTCTTTGGCAGAATCCAGGATATTTTATTTCTCCTTTTCCAGAAACTAAAGAGAACCTTAATGGAAGTGACCTCAAACGGATTACTTTTGCATTCTCTGGCTTCTAACTAACATTGATAACATTGACACTGTTGGAATGTTAGATACCAGTGAGTTGAGTATGATTCAGTGACCCTGTGAACAGCAGGTCTGAACCCTGCCCTGTCCTGTGTTGTCGTCATCATCTCCGACATACTGAGCCCATTGCTACAGTTACCATGTCAGTCCATCTTGTTGAATGTCTTCCTCTCTTTCACTGACCCTTCACCTTTCCAAGATAATAGAAAATGCAAAGTACCCTTCTCCCTATTTTAGTCAGTGATACAAGTATAAGCTTTAGTGATATAATTTTATGTTAGTGGGACTGGTACCTATCTGAAAGGAAGATCTTTCTGAATAGTGTCATCCACGAAAGCAAGAATTCATTCTGGAAGAACTATGAAAGACCAAAATGCTCCTGTGAGCAGCCTCTCTGATTAAGTAACTACATAGGAACCGACAACATAACTTTCATGTACTGTTAATACCATGTCATTTGACCCTGTCTTCCTAGAATCACAGAGTGCTTTTCCTGCAGTTATTGACTTGAATTTCTAAACCAGTTTGGTCTTTGAGTTATCTTACTGATTTCAGCACTTCCATATTGAAGGCTGTCGACTTTGATCTTCTGCAGTAAGTGCTTCAAGTCTTCTTCACTTTGTGGAAACAAAGTTGTGGCATCTGTAGAATGCAGATTGTTAATGAGCCTTCCTCCAATCCTGGTGTCATATTTCTCTTTACAAAGTCTAGCTTGGAATGAATCACTCAATATACAGATTGAACAGGTATGGAGAGAGGATACAACCTGGACACAGAATTTTCTGATTTTAAATCATTCAGTGTTCCCTCATTCTGATCAGTCAGCTGCTTCTTGATATATGTGTAAGTTTTCCATAAGCACAATTAAGTGTTCAAGGATTCCCATTCTTCTCAATGTCAGCCATAACTTTTTATGATCCATACAGCCAAATGCTTTTGCATAATCAATAAAACACAAATAAACATCATTCATTTTATATAGATTACATCTCAACATCAAGAAAACAAAAATCTTTACCACTAGACCAATAGGTAAAATCATGATAGATGGAGCAAAGGTTGTAGTTGTTGTCAATATTTTAATTTTACTTGGATCCAGAGTCAACACCTATGGTAGCAACAGTCAGGAAATAAAATTACTTGTTACAGTGTGGAAATCTGTCCAACACCTTTCCAGAATGCTAAAGAGCAAGCATGTCAATTTAAAGACTAAGGTGTACCTGGTCCCAGGCATGATACTTTCATTCGCTTCATGTGCATCTGAAAGTTGGACAGTGAATAGGGAAGACCAAAGAAGAATCAATGCCTTTGGCTTGTGTTGTTGGAGAAGAGTACTGGATGTTCCATGATCTGTCCAAGAACAAACAAAACGGTCTTAAACGAAGTGTAGCCAGAGTACCCCTTAGAGCCGAAGAGGGTGACACATGGTCTCACGTACTTAGGGAATATTTTCAGGAGGCTAATCTTTGGAGAAAAACATCATGCTGAGAAAGGTAAAGGTCCAGCAAAAGAGAGGAAGCCCCTCAAGGAGTGAGTACGTCAATTCCCTTGAGCATGGCTGAGATTGTGAGGGTGGTGCAGGATAGGGCATGGTTCAGATGTATTGTTCCGAGGATCACTGTGAGTTGTCTCTGTGGACCCAGCAATGACAACATGTCAGATTAGCAACACTGAATGAGTTTGACCTGCATGCCACATGGATTTATAGCAGAGAATATTCTTAATACAGTTGGCCACCTTTTTATCTTAAAATATGAGCTTGGAAAACATTGTCCACACATGAAGTTAGGTTCTTAAAAGCAGAAACTTTGTCTTCATTTTTGTTTGTAACCCCCCCCCCATATTTGCTGGTAAAAATGATACTTGGTAGCTTAATGGCATGTGGCGACATTCAACAGCAGTGACTTGTTGATTTGATAAGAAAACTAAGCAGTTGGGCTTTATGAAATGGAAAAGACATTTCAGAATCCCTGTGCAGCACCTGTTTAGGAGTGCCCTATGAAACCCTCAAACATACATTTAGGTTCTTAGCTGTTGAAGACATTTCTAAACCTTGTACCGTTTCAGTCCTTAGTCCGTGTCCTGTCCTCCTTTATTTATAACTGTTTGACTTTTATGTCTGCACAGGAGTGTACCTGGGTGCATATGCTGCTGGATCTGATGAACCTGGCCCAGAGGGCCTCACCTCCACCTCCCTGCTGGACCTCCTGCTGCCCACGGGCCTGGAGCCACTGGACTCGGAAGAGCCCAGTGAAGCTATGGGACTCGGAGGTGGCCTGGGAGCCCCTGGTTCTGGCTTTCCCAATGAAGAGAGTGAGGAGTCTCGGATCTTGCAGCCGCCACAGTACTTCTGGGAAGAGGAGGAAGAGATGAATGACTCAAGCCTGGACCTGGGACCCACTGCAGGTAGCTCTTCTTACCTACTGGGTGTGTATTGACTGTGAGCTGAGAGTAAGACAATCTAGACAGAATGCCAAATGACCATTTCCATCACCAGAATCACCTTCTCCACTTTCTGCCAGTTAAGATACCATGTTGTCCTGTACACCAAAGCCTAGATCTAGGCACTTCTTAGCCCAGGAGACCCTCTCCTCTTCAATATTAATTGTTGTTTAGTGGTTACTTAGAAGTCTACTTAGAAGTATTTAATAAATACTTAACACTGTTTTTAGTTATAAGACAACTGAGAAGTTAAAAAGCTTGACTAAAGTCATGCAACTGCTAAGAAAAAAGTTCATGATTGAAATCTAGATCCTTTCAAATTTTATGAGTTTTTGTTTTTCTTTTCTATTCTTCTGTACCATCTTTGAAGATTCCCACGAAGTTGGCAGATTCAGTGTTCCCCTGTGGGTCTATCCAGTCCCCAGGCCAGGCATTTTAATGCTTTGTCCTCAGACATGCAGCAGAGCTGGTTTTGAGTTTCCAGAGCATGTCTTCCTCAGTGGCTGCTGCTGGACAGCTCTGTCCCAGAGGAAGTCCGACGAGGCCTAGGGCTCAGTGCTGGAATCCACATGGCAGTAGGGCCGATTACAGATGCAGCAGAGCATGCTCACGGTGCTTCTGGCCACAGCAGCTGTGCACATGTGCTTGTTCAGCAGAGCTGCTTTTTCATGATTAGACTCTTGAATTAGCGTATGTGTGTGCGCGCGCAGGCACGGACATGGGTGCAAGGTATTGCATAATTTTGCAATAATGATTTTTCTTAGTAAATATGTATTTAATGGATTTGGTTTTTACCTGAATTACAAAAAAAAATAATGCATATGGGTATCAGAGATGGCAAAGGAGGAAAATATGAGTGAAAATTAATTAAAAGAAGATACTACATGAATATTAGTAGAAAATACTACATGAATATTAGTAGAAAATCTGAAAAATGAAAAACTAGTACAATGAAGAAAATAAAAACACCCAATCTGAAAAATGTGGCAACAGTCATTGGCAGTGGTTGCACGGGTTGAATGAAATTGCCCTTGGGACAGGCTGGGATGCAGTGGAACAAGGGACATCTGTAGCCCAAGCCCTTTTATACTAGAACTTGCTGTAAGTGGTGCCTGGTATCCTAGAAACTTGTGTAGCAGTAGAGCTGAAGGGTGTACTAGATTCCCCTTTTATTAGCAATGGCAGGTTTGGTCAGGCTTGCTATCCTGCCAGCTTTAAATGGAGCAAGTTTGGAGGAAGAAAATGGGAATCTCTCGCTACCATTGAAAAAGCAGAGGTAGAGAGTGCAGCATGTCTGTTAGGTGAGATACCTGTGTGGGGCAGATCAAGATCAGCGCTAGCAGTACTGAGGAGGTGGGGCTCAGAGATCAATGTGGCACAGGGCTGAACTGGAACTGTGTCCATGGAGCCAGAGTTTAGGGCCTTTGCACAAACTTTCTGGAGGATTGGGGTGAGGCGGCCATGAAGCAAGATTAAGAGAACTTTGTAGCACAGGCTGAAGCTGGCAGCTAAATGTTAGAGGGCCTGTGGGCACATCTGAGTAACTGCCCTGATTAAAGAATTGTATCCTGAATGTTTCTAATCTGAATTGTAACCAGTTACTCCCCTAATAAACTCTATAATCATGAGTGTAGTCTGTGACTATGGACATTTCAACAGATTGGTGAGCTTCAGGAGCCCCGGGAGGGAGGAGGGTAATAGAATTGATAGAGGAAGGTACTGGAGTGTGGGGACATGTCTGAGCTCATGGGAATTAGCTGGATGCTGATGTTCCCCCTTGTGCAGTTACCACATTGTTTTCACAGTTGGTGTCAGAAGCAGGGTTTGTTGCAGTGGCTCCCTACTCACAGATGCATGGGATCTTGTTAGAATAAGCAGCTCAGGGAATGGGAAATGCAGCTCAGATGGCTATTGTTGCAGAGGACGGGAGAAAAGCCACTTCTCAGAGGCCAAGGCTATATGTTAGGGGGATAGTTAAGGGTGGAGAGAGAAAGATGAAACTGGGACACATTTTAAAAGGTTTATTTGTTCATCTGCATTGTTGTTGTTGTGTGCCATTGAGTGGGAACTGACCCATAGCTGACCCTCCAGTGGGTTTTCAGAAGCAGTCTATTTCACAGGAGAGTGCCCATCCTTTTCCCATGCAGTGGCTGGTGGCATCGAATCACACACCTTCGAGATTGCAGCGCAGCTTCTTGCCACTTGACTACTAGAGCTCCCTCTGATGTAAAATGGTAGTGGTATAAAATGAAACTGACCTTTTTTTTGAAAGAAGTATGTGTTTATCTGGATATACATGGATATCAATTGCTTCTTCTATGTATGTACTGGTGTAAATTGTTGAGGAAATAAATATTGGGTGCTATAGATCACACCTCAGTCTTTAAACTGACATCATTGTTCATTAACACTTTGGAGAAGTCCTTAACAGCAGTTTTCTCCAGTGTAACACAACTTTTGATTTATTGACTGGTGCTACCAAGGGTGTTGATTATGGATCTAGGTAAGATGACATTATTGGCAACTTTGGTGTTTTCTCCTGTCTGTCATAATGTTGCCTGTTGGTCCAGGGTGAAGATTTCTGTTTTCTTGATGTAATAATGTAATCTACACTGAAGGCTGTTGAAAGCAGATCCTAATAGAGGCTTAAGCTTGCCCCCCGCACCCCTCCCCCCCCCCCACATGGTACCTCTGAGATAGGGAATTTGCATTTAACTGTAGATCCACCTAGGATTTCAGAGTGGAGATCACTACTCTACTCATTGCTGTTGAGAAGGAACTGACTTGTAGCTGACCCTCCAGTGGATTTTTGGAGGCTGTGACTCTCTGGGGAGGAGATTACTCATCTTTCTTCCAAGTTGCTGTTGGTGGATTCATACTGCCAGAGAGATGGGACCTTTGGGTTAGTGCTGCTCATCCCTCCTGACTATGCCACCGGAGCTGCCACCTTCTGAGTGGAGAAATTTAAATATGGAGCAAGCAGTTTGTCTTTGGGTGCAGGAAAAGCCAGTGAGACAGGGAAGTCCCGTGCCCTTCAAGAACGGCTTTTCTGGACTAGAAGTTAAAGGGAATCAATCAGGATGTCACCTAGAGCCACTTGATGAATGGAAGTGGGAGAAAACAGCTAGGAAAAGGTGATTTGTGTTCCCCACACGGGTGCTAAGGTGGCCCTGTGTGCTAGTGTAAATCACTGCTGTCTGATGGCCTGTCCTGGGCTGGACTTTGCTATGGATGCAGGTTCTCAGAGCTCCAGCCAGAGCAGACCGTTCTTTAGAGCAAGGAAACTGCTTGTCTCCTCTGAATATTGATGTTGTAGGGTTTTTGTTTAAATGAATTTTTTATTTTGTACTGATTTACTTTCAAAGTTCATACACCTTGTTCTTCACACTAGATCTTTCCATTTCCTTTACCCAACCATCCCTCCACCCATCAAACTGTGTGACCCTATGATTAACCACCCCCCACTCCCTACTCCCGCCCATCCTCACCCCTCTGCTCCCCCCTCCTCCCCTTGGATCCTTATACTCATTCTACAATAATGGTCTTATACAATATTTGTCTCTATGGGACTGAGTTAGTTCACTCAGCATAATCTCTCCAGTCCCTCCCAAGTTAGGTAGTAATTTACGAAATCATTGCTCCTGCATGCTGCGTAGTATTCCATTGTATGAATGTACCATAATTTCTCAATCCTTTCGATTGCAGTTGGACATTTGGGCTATTTCCATGTTCTTGCATTGGTGAATAACGCTCCTATGAACATTGGTGTACAAGTCTCCATCTGTACCGCAATTCTCATTCTCTCTGGGTATATTCCAAACAGTGGAATAGCTAGGTCATATGGGATTTCTTTGTTCAGCTTTCTGAGGAAAAGCCAAACTGCTTTCGAGAGTGGTTGTACCATTTTACAATCCCACCAAGAGTAATGATTTTGATTGTTGTTGTTGTTAGGTGCTGTCAAGTTGAGTACGACCAATAAGGACTGTGAACAACAGGTCTAAACCTTGTCGTATCCTGTGCCATCTTCATCATCTCTGACATGCTAGAGTGAGACAGTCACAGTGCCAATCCACATGGTTGAGGGTCTTTCACTGACCCTCTGCCTTTCTGAGTATCATGTCCCTCTCCAAGGAATAGCCTCTCCTAACAACATTTCCAAAGTATGTGAGAAGAAGCTTTATCATCTTTGCCTCCAAGGAGCACTCTGGCTGCACTTTCTCTAGGACATATCTCTCTGTTCTTTTGGTTTGATGGGAATGCGCAAGTAGAAATATTGGCCCTCTAAAGTAGGAGGAGGAAAATAAAAGCATGAAATAGCAGACTTAAATACTTTCCTCAATTATTATGTGAGATAATTGTGATTGGGAAGTTAATCCATCAGATATGTATGAAGGCCAATGGCTGCCTTGGCTTGTTACTTTTTCTCTTCATAAGCTCCTTGCTTATGTAATAAACAGGCAAACATTTCTTTCGTTCAAGATCCATCTGACCTCAGCAGTGATATCCCTTGTTCCTCAACCTCTTTTGAATTAAGCTTGAATTTCTGTTTCTTTTGATGCAATACCTCAGTAGTTTTTAAATAATCTTTAGCAAGATTTTATTTGCATGTGATAGTAATGATTTGGTTCTAGAATTTTTGCATTCTGTTGGATCACTTCTTTTTGGAATGGGCACAGATATGGATTTCTTCCAGTTTGTTGACCAGAAAGCTGATTTCCAAATTTCTTGGCATAGCTGAGTGGGTGGGTCTGGTTTTGCCTCAGCATCAATGAATGAGTGAGTAGCTATTGGAAGGGAGTTCTGATGGCTTAGTCCTTAGGACGTTCATTATGCTGTTTACCCAAAGCTGGCACCTCTCGATGGTTCAGATCCACCAATGGGAGAAAGATGGACAGTCTCCTCTTACACAGTTTTACAGTCTCCAGAAACACACTGGATTATGAGTTGGTCTGACTTAACAGCAG